CATCAAAGCATCCTTCAGAACAAAGAAGAAAGGAATCACAATGAGTGTTATGCATCTACCAACGGTAGCATTGGGCGATAAAAATCAGCTTTATGGGAGGCTGTAGTCGATCGTAGAGAAGGGCCCAGGAAAGGAACCTGACCATCTTGATGGGAGATCTAAACGCCGAGGTTAGGATGGATAACACCGGGTATGAAGATATCAAAGGACAACATGGACCGACTGTGAGAAAAGAACGAGAATGCTAAGAGATGTGTAAATTAATGTGCCAACAACAAATGGTTATAAATGACACTATATTCCCTCACATACGCACACAGAAAGCTACATGAGTCTAACCGGACCACACCACACAGAAGCAGATCGATCATATTTGCATTACTAAATAATTCAGTTGCTTAAAGGAAGAAATGAGAAAAGAGAGAGGTGTTGACATAGCTTCAGATCACCACGTGGTGATTGTCAAAATGAAAAATGAAGTTAAAGAAACACTGGACAAACAGCATTACAGAGGTTTAATACAGTATTTTTTCGGGATACTGACAAACTCAACGAATTCAAGATAGCCCATAGCAACAGGTTCTAAGCCTGACGAGATCTACTCAAAGAAGAAACTACTGTTTAGAGCAACTCTCAACATTACTCGTTAACATACATCGACTTCCTTGACTATAAGAAAGCCCTTGACAGTGTGGATAGAAGAACCTTATAGAAACTTCTTCGACAGTATGGTGTATCTAAGACGATTCTCAATATCATACCAAAAGCATATGACGGCTGGGTATCATTAGCAACAGCCTACAGTGACAAGGAACAAACCAGCTTCTAACTGAAGAGGAAATTAAAAAGGGACGTTGGAGGTGGATAGGACACACATCACACACACCGCATCATGAGACAATCCCTAGCGTGGAATTCTAAAGGGAAAAAGAAGAGTAAGAGCAAAGAACATATTACGCAAGGAATAAGAGGCAGACAACAAAAGAATGAATAGCAATGGGAAATGATAGCTCATGACAAATGGTTGGAGAAACCTGGTCAGTGGAGTAACAGGAGCAAGTAAATTATTTTGCTAAATTATCCCTTAATTTATTGTCGTCGTTATTATCATTTTTACCACAAAATGATCACACTTAACTGACAATGGTTAGTTTGCTTATAAAGTAGGTTTAGTGTTGTGAATTTGAGCTATCCATCACTAGAAGTGTATTAATGAAGCATTTTGTAGATTCACATGATGCTTTCCGATCTTCTCTAAGTAACATTCGTATTTTCTTAAAAAGTAGTTTTATGAACACATGAAAACAACATGAAATTGAATTGGAATTTTACCCTGAAAATGATGTTAGTTTCACTAAAGATTTTGTTGTAGCCGATTGATCTTGCATTGAATTAGCAATTAAAGCATGTGGTATATTATCAAACCATATTTCTTTCAGATTATTTGATGAATATAAATTTGAAGTTGATTTATTCAAATGATACTGTTGATTTGATGGATCATTTTCTAATTTATTATTGACAATGAAGCATTTAGATTTTTTATTTGGTCTAACAAAAGTAAACAAAAAAGTCAATAGTATTAGAGATTTATTATTATTTAAATGAATGATACACACATTTGTAAATGTATCATAAATTAACATTTAATATACGGTTATATAATACATTCACATTTATGATTGAATTGAAAGTTAAAAAGTAAACTTATTTCCAAAGAGACATGTTCAGTAAGTTTGTTTTTTAAACCGAGAATGAACATTCTCATAATTAAGATGTAAATGATGTTTATTTCTTAATGCACTAATTTTTTTTATTAATTTAGGGATCTAATTGTTGAGTCGGCGTTCGGAGAACTTCAACGGAGCCCCTAAAGGCCCAGAAGGAGCCGAAGAGTCCTAGTCAATCAGAGCATGATGGAGCATTCTAGAATTCCAACGTGGTGTGATACTATTGGTCAGTAGCATAATACAATAACGAACTGGCCGAAATATGTTGATTTAACAAACGTTAACATCTATGAATACCCATGTTTCCTGTATAAAAAGAACCTTGAAGTAAAGTATCTCTCTCAAACGTTGTGTCTTCTTTCTGGTGTTCAGGCCGCTGTATAGTTCTAGCGTGCGGGTTATCAGAACGAATATAGCGTCCAATCAGCAAGGCTTAACACTATTCCACTGATTAGCGAACCAATGTAAGAAAAATTAAATCAGTCTATATTTATTCGACAAATAATGGCTATTTTATTTAGTTTAATCTACGTCAGTCATTCAACGTAAGACCATGAACATATATGCATCGGTCCAAGTTGCCACACTTTACTCATCAGCACAAGAAGATGAACACCGGATTCATAGTAGTTAATTCAATGGTGCTAATATATAAAAGAAAGATTGTGTATTAGAATATAGTACATGAAGAAAGAATTAATTCGTAGAAAGAAAGATATGGAGCGATTTTAATCTCTTAGTTTAAGGGAAGACAGGGAGTGTATACACCGACACCATTGTGATCGATTCTGAGCCATGTCACACAGAGTTTCCAACCATTGGTTACGATAGTCGTCTGGACCCCAACTAAGTAGTCTGCATCTACCAACATGGCTAAGACTAGAAGTTAGTGAATTCAAGCACTGATGCCACGTTTTGGTTTGGTCACCCCTAACTTCCTTCCAATCACCAACCCCAACACTAGTCAGTTTTGCGCGTCGTGGTAATCGGTGTTCAGGCATATGTAACACGTGGCCGAATCATCTCAGTCTATGAAGATTCACAACCTCATCAATTGATATACCATCACTCCCAAATATCCTGCGTCTAACTTGAATTTAATCCAAGTTATCAATCATAATGGATGGTTTTCTTATTTTTATTCAGAGATTTATCACAGATAAATGAACATAGAAATAGAGGGTGATATATATGATAAGAATTTGTACAATTCTCAGACTTGATAAGTAAAATAAACAAATGCCATATAACATTCTAGTGCCATTAATGGAGCATCTATTTTAAGGATGTTTATATGGGATGTATATTATCATTTAAATATTATCATTTACATCACTCAACCTAATCGAATGAGATTTCACTGAAGGCATTTTTTCAACTGATACATCTTTTTCCAATTTCGAAAAGGGTTGTTCACAAGAATTATCACTTGACACTGTGAAAACATTAGAAATCTCCTTTGGTTTATCAGATGTCAATTGGACTATTTCTGTTCGATCGGTTGTATTGGTTTTTTGCTTTTGAGTACGAGAAGCGAATTCTGCTCGTCGTTTCTGTATAGTCTTCTGTTTTAATAAATGTATTCTGAAAGGTAATTCAATCATCAAATGTACACTTTTAGAGTACAATTAAAAAATTTTTTTTAAAAGGTTCGTTTAAAACCATAACAATAATGAATAACAGATGAGCTATAATATACAATTAAATACAAAAAAATACATTAGTTTCTTATTGTAATGAATTCACTGAAATACAATGGTCGGAAAAATACCTTCATATCTACCATTAATCAAATGCTAATTGAATAATGAAATAACCTGTCGAAAATACATCGTTGACGAGGTTAGACCAATATTCAAGTCTAAAGTAGAATGGGATCTTTTTAAAAGTAACAAAATACATCTTGATGGCAGATTTTAACAATCACAACCATACACTTTAAACTTCCTTCTTGATAATTTAAAACATATGATTGTTTAACTGTATTCAATCTATTAATTTGAACTAGAAATAGATTAATATCATTATAGAAAGTAATATCGAAAGGATGTTCCTCTTACAAAGAATTAAAAGGTTTCTAACTGTTTACTCATATTGTTGAAATCCTTGTGACAAATGTTTAACCAAAACAATCTATGAACCACATTCTTTCAACAACAACAACAACAAAAATTTCATCTCATATCGCTTTGGTTTGGCTATCAATCTGATCATGTCTGTAAACTGACATGCATTCTACAACAATTTCCAGTATATAGTTTATTTATTTACTATTCATTTATTAGATTTATTTATTTATTATTTATTTGAACACATAAATATTGGTACAAAGGGGCATCAGATCTATATATGCGCCACACCAAAGTGGGAATAAAAGAGAGTGAGTAAATAACGTAGTAAATAATAATAATAATAGTGTGAACTATTTGACTGTTAATCGAAGTGTGAATAGTATTTTCAGTAAATATCGTCATTTTATTCTCTTTGTGTGTGGGCTGTAATACTGCCCGGGGTATCCAGACCGAAGCAGGTGGTTTTCGTAGGGGGCCACACCCCGAGCCTTTGACCTAAAGGTCTGATCCATAAGGCAGTGAAGCAACGTAAGGAGATGCATTCCCATGGTAGCCGATGACGAATAATTGGTTCATACACCATTTGTTCCCTCAGGATACTGGAGCCCATGTGCACCAATGGTTTGGAATCAGAGTTTTCCAACTCCCTTAGGTGGACTCACCGTGGCAGAGGCTGTATACGCGTGGCCGTGTGAGAGCATTTCGAGAGGGAGAGTGGACTCTCCCCACTCTTGGTCGTACCAGGGCAATTAGGGACGATATAATACACAATTTTTCTTGAAGCAATATAAGAATGTGAATATATATATATATATATATATATATATATATATATATATAAATGTAAAACCGATAAAACATTGTTTAAATCTATTTACCTTGAATCATATTTTGATTTGAATTTTCTTTTTCTTATAAATGAATAATTTTTCTTTTCTTTATTCTTATTCTTATTGTGATTACCTTTTGATTTATTATGCATTATAAGATGAAAATTGATAAAATAACTAAAATGTCATAGAAACTAGAATAGAAGAGAAATTAAAGGGTGATGAATAGTTTTGAAGAAAAAAAAAAGAAACAACACAATGATTTATACAGGGAATATTTTATATTTAATAAAAGTTTATGTACACTTGTTTTGTTTTATATTATAAAAAAATATATATAAATGTTATTTACAAGAATTGAATACAATTCAAATAGAATAATGTAACATGCCTAAAGGATAACCAAGATTAGCAATTAATCGTATTACTGGACTGCAACCTCCAACAAAAAATGCACAATTTGAATGATATTTTAATTTTAAAGAATCTACCGATTCAGATAGATTAAATTTATCAACAACAAGTATATGACTTAAACGTGAGTTAGGTGGATCATGTAAATCCACTGAAGCTAATAAATTGCCAACATGATCCCACATATATAATAAACTTGAATTACCACCGGATACAATGCGTGAATCATTATCCATATCACAAAAAATAGCTGTTTGTGAATACCAAGTGTCTGATATACCTGAAAAAGAAAGAAAACTATAGAGTGAAAAAATCAAACGATTAAAGTTAGGAATCTAAAAGAAATAATCAATTCTATGACAAACCAACATGTCTAAATCAATATAAAACGGAAATATTCAAATAAACAATCTGAAAGACAGTTCTCATCAACCAAAGAACAACTATGAAGATGATTATCAAAAAACAAAACACTTTTACTACATAAAAGAAGATTGAGAACGCTTAATTACAAAACAAAACTCATATTTCGCTTTCTTATTCTTTCATTCCTTATAATTCATATTCTATGTTTACTTTTATTTTCCAACACACAGCAGTACGCCTAAGGTGAAAATTCTGTCCTATCTAAACTATCTCAAGTAACTGAATGGTCGAAAGTTAAATGCTTAAAATGAATACGATTTCTGAACTAGCCCCCTTAAAACCACGTTTATCAATGAAACTGGCTTCTTTCAGCATTCAAACAATAATGGAGATCGGACAACATATAGGTTTGGCTACGTCTTTAGAAAGTCTTAACATCAAGTTTAGTGTTCAAAGTCAATTTAGGGGGAATAATAGGAATCGAAAAGGGAAATCGATTATGAATACAGTGATCTTCAGCGTTGTTAGAGGTAGGAGGGCGGTTATCACTTCCCGGTTGCCCACACCGTGAAAGGTTCTTCTACAGGTACCTGAAAAAGAAATTGGGTTAGAAGTGGTTTAAGTGACCTGAGGTAATTGCAGTTCCCAATAGACAGCTGCTTGAGGCCGGTCACACACAACCTTTTCGTGTTGGCTCAGTACTTAGTGAAACCTTAGTGACCGAGACGAGAATCTGTGGGATTAAGCGAAGTGTGCATTTTTAAGGTGGACCTTTCCAAACCCCACCCCTCTTTGTGAGAAGGCAGCATCGCTGTTAAACTGGTTGTCTGAAGGAGAAATCTTATGCCGTCACACCTCTGTACAGTCAGCAGTACGACTTCAAACCTTGGGGTTCCTGCTCCTAGACTTACCGCTCCCCAACCGACCTGTCTAGCATTCTGGGACGATTGTTCCAGCCAGTATAGCTCAGTTGGTTCATCACGATAGGCAAGTCCGGCCACCACATCAAGGTAGCAAAAAGGGTCGGGCTTAATATTAATATCTTTGGTCTATCTGAGAGCCGTATCAAGACTCTAGTGCAGTGCAACACATTCCCTTTCTGTCTACCGCTTTGATGAGCTTGTTTCATAGGCGTTTATTCGGGGACCGTGTAGCAGGACTAATCAACTGTATCCCAATCAACAGTTGATTGTGTTAAAAATTCATTAAAAAGAAAAGTATTCGGCCTGAGAAACTATGTCATTAAGTAATCTCCATCTATGTTCCAACCACCAGTTAGATGATTTCGAGAAAGCGTGTTCAACAGATACTAGTCGGCGATTTGAATGTGCAGGCCGGGTGTCTAGGCACAGAGACGTTTGAGTGGCCGACAGGGATCTATTACCTACAGATTTGGTAACAGAGACCTCCTGTGGCTTTGTACAGACGAAAAACTGTTTAAGGTTAAGACCAACTTTGGCACGGTCATCGCTGATGTGTTAACTGACATCCTCCCTCTGTAGCTCAAGCTTTGACTCAGACTCGATACATTGTGATCAGTTACCGCTGGTGTAGTTTGTGTACAAAACCATCACTGATGTTTTGGACGAGGGGCAGAGTTCTTCGACGAAAAATTCAGCTGGTCTACTGCCCTCGTGAAATAGGTCAAACTGTTCTGTCCTTTATGGATGGTGACGACTGACCCACCTAATTCGGCGGAAGTTCGCAAGGAACTCCAACTCCTGAAGCTCTATAAATGACTAGACAACTTACATCCAGTCCTTTTTAGGGATCGTGATGAACTTTTGATCAGGGAAGTGACAGTTGTTTGCAAACGTTTGGGAATTAGAGTGTTGCAACGCCCCGAAACAAGGCGATAGTAGTCCTTTTTAAAAACGTTTTACATCAACTATGCAAAAACTATAAAGGGATAAGTCTACTTCAGATTATGTTCAAACTGTTTGTTTCCGCCATACTTTGCGCACTGCCGAAAACCCGAGAATAGTTGACTCACGAGGATCAGACTGGTTTTCCTTTTGACTGAGCGCGTATTGATATATATAGTCTCTGACAAATGTTAGAACACCGAAATAAATATTGCAGGTTAATAATCACTGTCTCTTGATATCAAGACTGCCTTCGATGAACAGGACTGTTATATTGGATCTTTTGAAGAATGTGCCTGAGACGTTTATCAACATTTTGAAGGCTCTGTATACAAACACATCAAGTAGGGTAAGGGAATACGATCACCTCTCATCCTTTCATTACAGTAGTGAGGTTAGGGAAGGCTACCCAATCTCACCACTCCCCTATAAATTAACCATCGACGGCATTCTAGAAAGTTCTGATGCAAGTAAGTAGTGGTGGTGTGGATGTCACCTGGAGTAAGGCTTTCCGACTTTGAGTATGAAGATGATAGCCATACTGTTTAATGATACTGTGGTGTGTGCTACTTATATCGACATAAGTAGTATATGACGTTAGGAGTAGAATGTCTGGCAGCAGAGAGACAAGAGAATCGAACATTTAAGAATAGAAACAGAATGTAATTTGTATGAAAATGCAAGAACAATGAAGTCTGAGTCATATTAAGGCAAGTGATGGACCTTTTGCAAATTGAGCATTTACTATATGGTTATTAGATTTTACTAACAAGTTCTGCAATTCTCTGTCAAATACATTTGATTGTCCCCCACCCGTGTTCTGTTCACTACAATACCTAATCCATACAATCCCCACCTAATCAGTTAACAACCAATGTCCGTAGGTATGGCATGTGTTTCTGACCTTCGACATGCGAAGAATTTCTACAAGATTGGTAGAAGCCTGTTACTGAACTCATTCTTGGTAGTGAGTAGTTACAAGTAGTAGAAAAGTTCATGAATTTGGGTAGCCTTGTGGGTGCTAATAGTGGTATGACTGATGAGATTAATTTGGGTATAGTGGAAGCCAGTCTGGGTCATCGTGTTGTGTCTGATAGCAAAAGGTTGGATTTAAAATGCGTTGTTGAGAGTGGTTCTGCCCTATGCTGATGAAATCTGACCTCTCCGAGTTGAGAATGTTAGGTAACTCTCAGTGTTCAATCATTTTTGTCTCTGAATGATTGCTGACACTCAGCAGTAACACCATGTTAATATGCTGAAGTTCGATAACGTGCGTTCAGTGACGACAATTCAATTAGTGTCAAAACCTTGAAGTACGGGTTTCGGTGGTTTGGACAAGTGCTACAAGCGTCGTCCCAGTGAATTTCACGTCATGCATTATTTGCCAACGCTGGGGTTGGTTGAGAAAATTGGAAACGGTCAGTCATTGTGTCGTGGTATGAAACAAAGCTGAACAGGATTGGTATCCATCGACTACTCGACTTTTTAGTTGATATTCGAGATACCATGCAACTCAGTGACTTGAGACGTCATCAGACATGGCTCAGAATATAAACTAATGGCAATCCCAATGTAGTTTTCTTTCACTTATTTTAGAAGAGGAACTTACTTAACTGAAAGGATACATTGTGGCAAACCTTGTGCTAACTGGACTACTTCCCTAACTATATACTATTCCCGCTCACTTATTTTTTATCAATTTATTGTTTTTGATCATACTTACCCTCCTTCCTCTATTTCTTAGTAGTCTTGTCTTATTATGTGGTGTGTATTTCTTTTAGTTCACCATTGTGCCGATATTTGTTTAAGTAATAATGATGGACTAAACATAGTTTGCACAAAACAAGAAATGTACGACCAGTTAGTAGAGCCCAGTAAGCTTGTAAAACTGTAGCCCATCTTCTATCATTTTGAAATAATTAAAATAACCCAGAATGAATCCGAGAATCAAAAAGTTTCATAGCCGAATATCACCGTAAAAAATGAAATTAAACATAAATTTTGAGTGATTCAGTTCTTCTACCATCCAATAACAACTTTGATGTGAGTTATTCATTAAGGTCCTATGAGACATTTTAGTACGACACTAATTAACGAATGTAACTCATGAATTCGGCTTTATGCATATTGTTTTTGCAAAGGGCAGTGACATTAACCAGGTGCCTGGATCGAAGCAAGTAAAACTCTGTCCGAATATGTGGCCTAGTGGTTAATAGCAGAGTGTTGGTAGTTGCTTATACTCTTACCACCTCGACCATTAAGGGATTTGAATCAACAACTGCATCTCTGTGCTAATGTGGTGTGGCAACTCGAACTGATGTACGTACGTACGAAGTTCTACGTTGTTACTGACTGACTGAAAGCAGTGTTGTAAATAATAAGTCACCACTCTACATTGACAAGTGAGACAATGTTCATGATGAAGGTTCTGAACATGATCATCATACTACTAGTTTAAATAAATCAGGATTTGATCTACTGAAAACAAAGTGGATTATTAGTTAAACAATCATGTATTGTTTTGTACTCACTCTAAAGATTATATCACCCTTACTGTGTTCGAAATATTTTTTATTTTGCCACCGCCTAACAGGATTTTGTCAGTATATCAATTCTAAAGAACATGGAAGATAGATCAGTACAAACGGCTGTGATGAGGCTGAATAAAATGGCAACAAGCAGCTAATTTAAAGTAATTCTAACTTTGTCGTGTATTTCCAAGGCAACGCCATGCAGACCGTTACAAGTGAGTGTGAGCAGAACGCAATCATCCATTTATTACTATGTTCAAATAATCTGAGTCTCTAAAGTTTAAGAATAACAGTTTTGTTCAGTAGTTACTAATATCTTTGTATTTTCCTACAAACAAGAGTGAGCTACTACGACTAAGGTGATATTAACACAAACACATTTTAACTGACGCAGAATAATGACTGAAACCATCAAGTGAGTAATCAGTCAATAAGATAACATATTTAAAGCTCTGTAAACATTGGTTGAGAATGCAACAAACAAATACACCTACAAAAATATTAAGACATTTAGGAAGATTTACCTTCAGGGTGTAATATAGAAACATTTCTCCCGGCACGCCTACTCCATAAAGAAAGTCGAGGCCCCCCTCCCGTAACAAACCAATCCTCTTCGAACTGTTTACAGGATAAAGTAGTTAACCAAGACCCAAGCTTGGATCGAGATAATTCACTATTTAGATACGGTTTGAACACAGATGAAGCCTTAAAGTTCCCATTCTGTATAACTCTGTTATCCCAAAAGCAGACAGTACCATCCTCAGAACTAGTTGAAAACTAACAAAATGAAATATTAGATTGAAAAACGAACCTCGTGTGCTCCAACTCTGCAAATTTTATAGATCGTGGACTTATGTCCAGTAAATTTGACCTTTTCTTTGAGATCACAACCAATTAAAAACGTATGGATAGTTCCATCCCCTAATGCGGCCAATAGAGTGTCACTTTCTGTATGATAACACAACCCGGTAACCTGAGCACGATTGAGTGAAATGTAACTAGTGTATTAATTTATACACCTTACTTCAGAAACGGTTGCGTAAAGATTTCCGGATGTCAGATGAACTGTATCATGATATTTCAGAAAGCCGTCGGTAGGTGTAGTCCATTTGTATACAACAATCAGACCAATTGACCCACAAAAAACATAATCCTTCCCGAAACATAAAGCGTAAATATTTCCTGCGTATTTCACGTTGATAATACACTCTGGCTTCCCCTCAATTTGTGCATCTATGACGAGAAAATTGTAAGATCAACACTCACATACCACAGGACAGTGAACATAACGAATAAATTAGTATTTTCTGTATATTAGTTCCAAAAAGTAGATATTTCCTACATGGAGATGTAACGGATGATAGTATGAATGTATGAGCTATTATCCTGTTATTGTTCATATCTGTAAGAAAAAAATGTAGAATATGAACTATATTATCACTACAAACAATACCCATAACCTGTTTTATTGCTTCGTTTAGTGACACGCATTAGCTTATATTACTTTGAGAACCATATTTAAGTCTTCTTCTACGAGTGAAGACGAGCCAGGTAACATATGTTCTGCACTAATCAGTATGAAACGATACCTGAGCTCCATTTTTTAAGTGAGTCTTATGATATACGTTAAAAGTATATTGTCGCAGTTCTATATCAACAGAAATACCAATAGAATTAGTTGTATCAATATATATGTAATACTGCAAATCAAATATCAGTCGACTGGTCATTTATGGTAAAAGTAGGTTAGGGGACAGATGGACCTTAATATCCCTGCCTCACCATAGATGGTGTAGACAAGTCAGCTTAAATAGCGACTAATATGACCTCCATATACACAAGTTACATTATGATGCCCAAATTGAATTCTAAATGGATCTAGATTACTGAGCTGCTGCACATAGCTAGAAAATTGCCCTCAAGTAAATAGGCAGCAGTATTTTGAGGAAATACCGAGCGCTTTCATAAGCCCAGTTTTTGATTTGAATGAGACCATCAAGGTGGACCCCATTAGAAAAGCGGATAACAAGCATAGAGATATAGGCATTTTTATAAGGAAAAAGAAAAATCACGCTGAGAAAAAAGTAATTATAGGCAGCAGTAAGGCATGTGAATATACTGTTTCAGTTCCGGATTCACATATCAACGCTAAATAGACTATGAGGGAGCAAAGTCTGAGCGGCATAAAGGATGTGATCAAGAGACATAATAAGGTAAATGACTGGCCTTCAGCGACTCTACAACTACCGTCCATTCCCAGACAGTGTGGATGGAACATTGAAGTAGGTCCCCCAGCTCTAGAAGAAGTTCAAAAGGCTATAGTTAATCTGAAACGAGGAAAGGCAGCTGGTCCAGATGGATTGGCTCCAGAAGTCTTTAAGGATGGTGGTCCAATTTTAGCGGTTAGGTTGACTAATATTTTAGCTAAGATCTGGGAGTTAGATGTTATTCCATCTGACTGGTCGCAATCACTTATCGTCCCAATATATAAGAAAGGATCAAAATCATCTTGTGACAACCATAGAGGGATTAGTTTAGCAAATATAGTATCTAAAATACTAGCCTCAATAATAATCAGACGCCTAACTAAGACTCGTGAACTGCAAACACGAGGAAACCAAGCTGGCTTCAGACCTGGTCGTGGTTGCATCGACCACATATTCACCATTCGCCAGGTTCTAGAACACAGGCATACTTATCGGCGTCCGAAAATGGTGGTCTTTCTTGACTTAAAAGCAGCATTTGACTTGGTAGACCGCGAGATTCTGTGGCAGTGTTTGTCATTGAAAGGCGTACCCCAGAAGTACATAAACCTTGTAAAGGCTCTTTACTCGAACACTCGAGTATTGATCTCCTTCCAGCAGGTCCACTTATAGACTTAGAATACGCAGATGATATAGTCCTGTTTGGTGAAGACGCTGGTAAAATGCAGAGTCTTTTGGTAGCACTAAGCAACAATGCCAGAATGTTTGGAAAGCGCTTCTCTCCCTCTAAATGCAAGTTGTTGCTTCAGGACTGGCCTGCGTCAACACCTGAACTAAGGATAGGGAGTGAAGTAGTCGAACGCCTTGACAACTTCACTTATTTTGGAAGTCTGATCAGCCCAAATGGGTTGGTGTCTGATGAAATCTCGGTACGGATTCGAAAAACTCGTCCGGCTTTTGCCAACTTACGAAATGGTTTAAGGATTTTCTAATAGGTCATAGACAGAAAGTAAATGTAAATTCGAAGTGCTCCATCTGGAGACCAGTACCAAGTGGAGTAGCGAAAGACTGTCCTATGTCCTTTACTTTTTATACTGTATGTAAATGATCTCCCAAGTATAGTTGAGTCCGCTGATATAAAATCTGGCGAGAAATCACAGGAGAAGCAGATGCATGCGCACTTCAGGCATGAAGTACCGATGCCCGTGATTCGGTCTCACAAGGATCTTGGGGTGACAGTGAGTCATGATATTAAGACCAATGACTTTTATGAAGGATCACCACTGGCTTCTATTCTACCACCGCCAAATTGCAGCTAAGGGATTTAGAACCCTATGGGCTTGAAAATGGACATTCACCAAGTTAGACACTATCACGTTCACTACTGTATACGCAACCCAAGCAAGAAATAAGCTTGAAAAATGAGTTCAGGCGGCATGCCCCTGTTTAAATGGTGGCTAGAATATCCTGGAATTAGTGAAGAGGGCAGCTACATGTCCAATTCCAGAACTCTGGTGTTTACCATAAGAAGAGCGGCTTATAAAGTTAAATCTGTTTATTCTGTCCTATCGCATAATAAAAAGGTGGTCTGATTTTAAAGTATTGCATAATAAGAAGTAATTTTGGACCTAATATATCTTTCACCTCTTTCCACTATATCTGGATAACTCAGAAGACATAGCAGGTGAGTAGAAAAGCCAAGAACTCACAGAAGCATAGCATAGGTCGTATGCCTTATGTCCTTACTACACAAACCTGAACAAGATTATACTGTTATACCACACAATAGTAAGACGTAATACAACTACATACGTCTTGTTAGTGAAGTCTTGGAAAACTTTCCAATCAATGACAGCTTAAATAAAGGATATCAATAAATAAATATTTCAGCTAAAATGAAGCAGTGGAACGACACGGACTTACATAACAGTGACGGTGTTGCTCAAGATTTGCGCTGAAGCCTTCAATCACCAAACTTGGTTAGGTAAAACTATTAATAGTGTGTCTCTAGTTTCTATTTTAAAAGTGATTTTGTGCCACGAAAAATGGCGTTTTAGGTTTAAAAGTTAATAAAGTCTGTCTAATCTTTCACGAATGTGAAATGACGAAATAAATAATCAAATGGTTTAAATGGTTGTGAATAGAGAAGCTTTCTCCTAACGACCTTCCGAGTCATGTAATAACAATGCACTGATGTCAGGCAATTAATTTCTTCGTAAGGCTGTCTTCATGGATTGCCTTCGAATGCTCCAGGCTATTCTCATTCATTTAGAATAGGTCTCTTTCTATGTTCTCAAGTCAGCCGAGTATACTAGTTTCGGCGAAAATGCAAATATCCGCAAAAAACTCTTCCTGTTTATAGAGCGCGTTTGGGTGTGAAGTGTCTGTAGAATATACTCTCACATTCGAATTTGTATTTTCCGTTGTTGTCAACCTTGATAGTAGTGAGAAAATGCATAACATAAATTACGTTCTTAGATTCATTATTTTTCATCGTTCATGTAGAGTAAAGCTTGCATCGGGATTCTTTAGTTATCGTTTGTCGTTTCACAAGTAGCATTATACTATGGGTTAGATTGTCAAAGCAGAAACTGCATTTTAATTATTATCATTACTGACTGCGTGTACTTTCTATAGACTCCATAATACTAATACAGTCTGTATGAAAGCATTCGTGGCTCTCGGTTTCGATAAACTGTATCTTCTGTTATTCGTTATTTTGTCATCACCGAAGGCATACAAATAACATAATTAGTTTTCGGAGATCGTTTTAGTGACCTTATTTTCCTCGTCCTTTACGGCGGTATCCATATTCCCCCAAAGTATTGAAACCTGAAAATGTTGATCAACAGTCAAATGGTTCAAATGGTTGTGGACGAAATAGAAAAAGCTTTCGCTCAACGGGCTTCCTTTTCAAGTGACAGTAGATCACCAATACCTACGGGCAGGAACCTAGATATATTAGCGATAATAGAGGAAAGAGAAGTTGATATATCATAGTGCTTAAGAACAGAGACTTGAGACAAAGACTTGTATTGTTCTCCTGTGTGAAATGTGTTCGTGTAGTTACATTGGAAGGACGAATCAACACTACTCATCAATAAAATTCTTCATATACTGATGATGTGACAGTGGGAAAGGCTTTCAATTAACAGTAGCATAACAGGATGGGAGTAATTAGGTCGGTATAATTTAGGCAGCAGTCTAGCGATTCCGTTTCCTCACTTATACACCATTATGGACTGCGGTTTAGTATATTCACTGGGAGGTCGACTCTGTCAATCATCAAGCTTTATGAAGGTATATCATTGCTCTATTGAAATTCTATCAAACGAGTCTGGAAATTATTTCTGTCCCACTTTATGATTTCAGTACATTTGCCGCTAACTGACTCATAGGATGTCTGATATACTATTTTTCGGGAAGATTCCATTTCTTTCGAGCTGCAGGTTTATTACAGTCAATATTACAAGAGCCAGCCTTCAGCTAGGTAGAGGATTGATTAAGTTTAATTCGAGACCGGAAAACAGAGATGTCAATCAACGGACTAACGATTTTTGTCCTCAAGAGTGTTGTGTGATTTATCCGTGTTGGTCGAGATGCATTCGTCGAGCAAAGTTGTTTTTTGACCTATTCATAAACCATAAACATCACCTCACAGAAAGTGCGTTCATCCTCTAGACTCTGTAAAGGTACACTCAGTTACATTTTCAGACTGTAGATCACCAACGTAGATGATCTATGTCGAAAGATCAGAAGTATACTGGAGTTAGATGGGAATGGTGCGACGAACCAGTTAACTTTGAAGTCACACTTTACTGTCGAAATCTAAAGTGGATTACCCCTTTGACGAACCAAAGTAATATGGCTGCTCTAAAGACCGTATGACACATAGGATGTTGTTAAGGAAATATACTAGTAAGAGTGAGTACAGAGAAGATAGAGAGATCACAACATCAGGCGTTAGTCCATGACATACGAGTGTTGGTTGTTCTTAGCCTTGACGAAGATCGATGATTTGTTCTATATCCAGTGACTCAACTACCGGATGATTTGGCTGAGGCTCAGTGACATTTCATTGGCCGTACAATACTCCACCATCAGACTCAGTGGCTGTTTGAATCGGTACCAAACATGTTAAAAATAGTCACGCTCCGAGGATTTCCAAAAAAAGATCGTGAAACAACAAGTAACAA